TAGTGATAAAACAAATGTATCTTAACTCTTTGACTACTCACCCATATGAGATTGGAGAAAATTATTTTACCATTTCCTAGTATTATCTAGAATAGTTAATGTAGCTATCAGTTCCTTATAGCTTATCTTGCCCTGTCCTGTTTCTCTTGTTGGGTTTACATTTTGACTGCCTGTTTACACCCATATATATTATGTTTCATGATAAGTATTTTTTTCTTCAAATCACCTAATTATTGTTTTTTATACCAAAGTCCTTCATGTGAGTTAATTATACATGATAAGTATTTTTTTCTTCAAATCACCTAATTATTTTTTTATACCAAAGTCCTTCATGTGAGTTAATTATACTTAACTTTGCAGATGAGTAATTTGTAAACAAGATTTAAATTTCACAAGTTCATGTGTAACTTCAGCTGTGTTTCATTTCACATAGTGCTTTGGTAACCTAGCCAAGGATTTTATGCATTCTATCTAGTAGGTCAGATCAGGAGCTAAAGAATGAGACTCACCTTTGACCAAAGGTCAGAATGAATTGGTTTCAGCTGATAAGAAATTCAGGGGCAGTCTGCAGTCAACATGGAACTTCAGAATTTCACCTGGTAGCAATCTGTTGTGCATCACTTGTTTAAAATACAAGCATTCCAAGCAAATTGTTCAGATAGGAAGTTTAAAGGGAAAGCTGTGTCTTTAAAAAATTTATACTTTTTGATTTTACATGCTCTTTATCTACATGTATCTGGCAACACCATTTATATAATTAATCTGTTTTTAACAAGAGCCATTAAAATGCTTAAGATTTATTTCCAAGAAAATACTAGAACATGAAAGTAGGAGAAAAACTGACCTCTTGTTTTTATGTGCTCTTTTCCCTCCCTCCCTCAATAGTAAAACAAAAAGGTACATGATTACTGTGTTTTCTAGAAGATATATTGCTGCTGTTATTTTTTTTTTTTTTAAAGATTTTTTATTTGTACAGAACTGGGGTACAGGCCAGAGATGAGGAGGGTGAGAGAATTCACCAGAGACAGAGCGGGGAGCAGAACAGGCAGATCGACGAAGTACACTGCTGAGGGGAGCAGCGGGCGGGTCAGGAGAGGTCTGCCACGCCATGTGGTCACCTCCGGGGCAGGCGGGAATCGAACTCATGAGGAAATGGCTTTAGCTTCTCAGTGCAGTGCTTTAACCCGCTGCGCCACCAGGGAGGGCCGCTGCTGTTATTTTTAACCTTTAGTAGGTAAAGCTATATAGTTATATATAACTATAGTTACATTTTTTAGCAAATATGTTAAATTAAGCAGTAAATTTAATCTGTTTAATACTTTATCTCCTTTGAATTTTCTGCATGGTAAGATTCCCACATTTTCTTTTTTAAATGAAGTTTTAATTTTATTCAGATAGAGTTGGTTTACCACACCGTATATATGTTTTAGGGGTTCACATTGCTCCAGATGTTTACCAGTGCCCACCACCCAAACCCTGACATTCTTCCACTTCATTCCATTGCCTCCCTGTCACCTATTCATGGTCCCAGTCTCCTCATTCCCCCTTTGCTAGCATCAGTTCTGCAGTCAGATTTCTAGGCTTGTGTATATATATATGTGTGTGTGTGTGTGTGTATATTTTTTTAAAAGATTACAGTGTTTTATGTTTCTCTGCTTTGTTTCTTTATATTCCACATATGAATGAAATCATCCTGTATTTGTCTTTATTCTCATTTACTTAGCTTAGTATAACAGCCCCTTTCGGTTCCACCCATATTGTTGTAAATGGCAACATTCCACCTTTTTTTTTTTTTTAAATATAGCTGAGTAGTATTCTATTGTGTGCATATATTGCATCATTTTAATCTACCAGGGGCTGGGCACTTAGGATGTTGCCATAACTTGGCTATTGTAACTAGCGCTACACATATGTTTCTTTTTTACACCTCCTAAGTCTCTTTATCTTACTTTCTAATGGTTTTCTATTATTTTTGAGCTTTTAAAATACAAGTTCTTTTACATCTTCTGCTATTTATTTGTACTTCAAAATAGTAAAAGCATAATACTATAATTTACAGTATTGCAGTGAAATTTGAGCTTTCAAGAGTACCTGGATTAGTGAAGGAACCAGGAAAAGATACTAACACAGATACTAAAGAAAAAAAAAGACTCTTCTGGCAGTGAAGAAAGAGTAGCCCCTGAGAACATCAACAAAACAACAGAAGAGCCTAAGAACTACAGGTTAACCCTAACACTGTACTTTGGCAGGGTTGCCACACTCCAAAGAAAGGCTGGTGATAGTTTTTCTTTGTTAATGAAAGCTGAAAAGTGTGGAAGAGGTAAGAAAGAAGAAAAGTTATGAACAGAACAGGAACCACATCCTTGATTGTTGATACAGGCATGGTGGTTAGTAGGGGAGCAGTTAGATCTCAAGTAGCCCATATTCTGACAAGGCAGAGAGTGACTGATGAACAGACCAACTCTGTTCTCCAGCCAAAAAATGTATTTGATACTACGGAAGTTTTCGAGTTATCTCTAAGGGGTGGAGAGAGGTTAGACGGCATTTCCTATACTTGGGGGTTATGGGGAGGACACACAGCTGCTATAAAAGCATGGAGAATCTTATTTAGGAGATAAATGTACATGGAAGGATAGAGAATGTGATAAAAAATACAAACAGGCACTTCTTAGTAGATCCTAAGGATTCTACTCTGAAGATATAACTATAGTCAGTAAGAATATAGTGAAAACAGTACTTTGTACAGTCTAAGATTTGCATCTCTGCTGTTATATGAAGCTTACTAGTGAAAATTACATTAAAGAAAGTGTTCAAGTATGTTTTCTAATATAACACAGTTAATATAGGCCTTTAGTGTACCTCTTGATTCTTTTAATTTTTTCAATTTTGTGAAAACAGGCTTTGAAAAATTATCCTTTATACTCTGTTGAAGAAGTTGAGAAAAATATGGCATACTTTTTACATCTGCATTACAAAGTAGGTTGAAAAGAATGTCAGTTACTAAGGGCCATCTTCAAAACTATATGGAGTGTCTGCGTAATCTCTGGTATTCTTCCCTTTGCCTGGTAGTATAACCTCCCATCAGGATGTGCACATTACTTTCTAGCATGCAGATTCACCGCTGTGGAATTTACTGAATTTGGCAGCTGGGGAAGATCTGTTAAAGGGGATAGCTTTAGTTTCTGTGCCCTAGGCTAGTTTTTCCTGTCTTATGAAAGCATTTTCTTGGGAGCAGTGTCCAGTGGATAACCATAAGTAGTCAAGTGGATATTATACACTCTTTTCCCTCCCTCAGAATGTGAGTAGTTATTTCTGGACAATTTAAATATGAAAATTTCAATTAATGACTTGATTATGTCAACAAAAATGGGAGGTTCATTGTGATGATCATAAACTTTAAGCTAGAACAGATAAATCTCAAGATAGGATCTTTTTTTAAAAATACATATATTTATATATATTAATAGGATTTTATATATTAATATATGTATATATATTACTATATGTAATATAGTAATGTATAATAATACTATCTTAAGGGCATTGTTAGCTGCAGGATATTGTTAGTTATATTTGTATGTAAATATATATATTTGTGTGTGTGTGTGTATCTATATTAGGAGCCTCTTAAGGAAGGATATTGTTAGTTGCAGTTAGGATTCTTTTGATAAAGAATATCTGCTGTTGGCCCTTGCTGGTGGCACAGGGGGGTAAAAAGCACAGAATTGCACGCTAGCCATAGCTGCTTCAGCACAAGTTCTATCCCATTCAGGTAGGTGACCCACATGGTGTGGCAGACCTCTCCTGACCCACCCATTGCTCCCCTCAGCAGTGTACTTCGTCAGTCAGCCTGTTCTGCTCCCCACTCTGTCTCTGGTGAATCCTCTCATTGCCCCTGAGCCTCCGACCTGTACCCCAGTTCAGTATGCATAAATAAATAAATCTTTAAAAAAAAAAAAACCGTTGATGCTTATTATAAAAATTTGTTTTTATTTTCAGAAAAGAAGTGAATTGATATACAACAGGGAAAAATATGAACCAGATTAGCTAGTTCTACAGAGGGAAAATATGAATAGCTGAGTATGTATAATCAACATGCAATTTAGTAGTAAGCTTTATATACATTACAGATATTCAGTTTTGTTAGTAAATTATTCAGATGTCCTGTAAAATTATATTCCTCTTTTATGAGAATATGCTTATCTGAATATTTTCCATATTTCATAAGCACTGAACTAATTTACAAATATCTGAATTGCTCAATTCCTGTCCCAAGTAACATGCACATTTTTTTTGTTTGCAGTTTATAATCTTGAAAAATGGATATGCAACCTGGTTTTTAAAAAATAAGCATCTGACATAATAGCATTTAAAGTGATATAAATTAATTTTTTTAAAGTGATATAAATTTTTTTTTCATCTCAATTGTAATTCCCGTGTGCTTCCCATCACCAAGTCTACCCATATGCCATCACCATAGTCCAGTGCACTTCTCTCCCCCCACCATATTTGATCCCATTCCCCACTCCACCCCCATAAAATGTCTCTGGTATATGGCTGTTCATTATTCTTATTATTTTCTCGCCTGGTCCATTATACTCCTGCTATGAGCAAAACCATCCGGTATTTTTCTTTTTCTTTCTGGCTTATCTTATTAAGTGATATAAATTTATTTTTATAGCTCGTATCAGCAATTTCATCTGTTACCTCATTATTTAATATATTTAAAAACTGGAGCTTTGAACAGAGGTTTAAGATGGTAAATCTAGTTGTTACGTTTTTCTAAATAGAACTTGTAATTGTTTTTCTTTTATTAGGATGTACCATTGGTGTGTTTCTTTTAATCTAAAATTAGTTCAAAATGATTTTAAAAAGTTTCCTAATGAGATCCATGAGCTTAACAAAATTTAGCTATCCTATGTGTAAAGAAATCTTATCAAAAGGATGCTGTTCAAATTTTCTCCCTTAACCCTAATGAGTTCTCTCTTTTGTTTTCAAAGAGAAACTGGTAGCCTGGGTAGATTCAAGGCCTCGTTAAGAGAAAATGTCTTGGGGAGCCCCAAGGAACTGATGAAGTTAAGTGTGCCATCATTAGTGTATGCTGTTCAGAACAACATGGCTTTCATAGCTCTTAGCAATCTGGATGCAGCAGTGTACCAGGTAAGGAGGGTTAAGTGATGATAAAAAGTGCAGAATCTTAAAAAATGTTTTTATGGTGAAAAGATTTTTATTAACTCTTTGTCACATAGATAATTTTTTTCTTGGTAATTCTATTAATGCTATTAGAAATAATGTACTACTGACCTGAATATATAATTGGTACCTTTTAACTCCCTTGTGTTACAGAGAACTTGCAAAGATGAGAATGGAGCTTTTTCTATAGACCTATCGCGTATATCTCTCAATCTCATTTCACAGGTGCAATATAATTTTAAGGATACTTATTTTAGTTTTTGTCACTGATTTTTGTTTTCTTATTTCTGCACAATTGATTTTCTAGCTTGGTTTTATTTTTCTTTTTTTTCCTTTAATGTTTAATATTCCTTATGTTTTAATGGGAGGCAGGAACTCTAATGGGAAGTTCTGAGCATGTTGTTTGGACTTGTTAACTTGGAGCTTTACTGCAAAAATGAGATAGATCTTTGGTTGGGGGGCACTGTTCTCTCAAGCTAGCCAAATGCCAGTGGAACCTAAAGCCACTTAAGCATGAGTTTGATCCCTGCCCTGGAGGTGATCCACAGGGTGCGGCAGACCTCTCTTGACCAGCCCACTGCTCCCCTCAGCACTGTACTTTGTCAGTCGGCCTGTTCTCCCCGCTCTGTCTTTGGTGAATCCTCTCACCACACCTGCACCTCTGGCCTGTACCCCAGTTCTGTATGCATAAATAAATCTTTTTTTTTAATCTGCAGAAATAGCTTATTTTTCATTTTCTTTTTTCTGTTAATAATATAAGTTTATTTTTACATTATTTTGTACATTTTTTTTTCATCTTAATTGTAATCCCATGGGTTTCCCATCACTGAGTCACCCATGTGCTGTCACCATACTCCCGTGCACTTCCCTCCCCCCACCCCCCGTTTTTGATCCTATTGCCCACTCCATCCCCACAAAATGTCTCTGGTATATGGCTGTTCATTATTCTTAGTATTTTCTTGCCTGGTCCATTATAATCCTGCTATGAGCGAAACCATCCGGTATTTTTCTTTCTCTTTCTGGCTTATCTCACCAAGCATGATCTTTTCTAACTCCATCCAAGTTGCTGCAAAAGACATATGTTTCTCTTTTTTGGTTGCTGAGTAATATTCCACTGTATATATGTACCACATCTTTTTAATCCAGTCATCTACT